TATGAATGTGCGTCTAGTAGAGCGCTGTATGAATGTATGTCTAGTAGAGTGCTGTATGAACGCGTGTCTAGTAGAGTGCTGTATGAATGTGTGTGTTTGAGGTAAATGAGGGCACAGATTGTGTTGTAAAGAGCTTTGAGTATTGGATAAGATATAAAGGTGCTGTATTAGTACAATCCATCTACCATGCGACCTGTTGTATCTCTTTCAGTGCTCTCATATTTTCATGGCCTTCTCTTGGTAGATTTACACACGTCCCATATTCTGTCCATTTCTTGATGACGGGTCCAGCAGAACTCTGGGGAGTCTTGCAAACCCTTTAGTCTCCGTCCCCTGACTCCATTGGACTTTTCAATAATCTTTTCTCGGAGTTAAGACAGACACTTCAAAGGGGGTGAATACTTTTTATCGGCACTGTAGAAAGCTTTCAGACTACCTAATGATGTAATCCAGATATCTTTATCAGGGAAGATGCTGTAACCCCACCCCCCACACCCCCAAGCTTCATGGAGCAAAACATTAAAATTATCTGGTCTTTATCAGGTTCTAAAAATGTTTACATTTAATCAAAAACACTATTTAAATAAAAATAAAACAAAAATAAATGTGTTTCATGTTATAGCTAAAGCAGCAGCTAGCTATAGCACTTCCTGCTGGACTGACTCAGGACTTGAACACTTCTGAACCCTTGTCAGAACGTTTGGAAGTGACAATGATTATCTGTTTGGTTCGGTTCTCCTGACACCCTGACGGGTTCTGTTCTTTTTAAGTCTTTGACCCGAGTCCGTTGAGACGGTTTCAGCTTCCCGTCTCCTGGTCTTCATGGTGGACTTTGGGTCTCGTCTGACCCACTTTGATCTCCCATGTGGACGAGGCTCCTCTGTCCTGGAAACACAAATACTCAAATCAGTTCAGACGTTTTGTTGTAAACTGCTAGTCCTGCCAGAGCCAGCAGACCTTTATTACAACACCCAAAGGTGCCAGGTCATCTCTGAGGGCGTCACAGGCTCGGAGGAGGGGGATTCTGTCCGGGTGACGTCCTGGTTTGGCACAGCTTGGATCATCCTGACGAGTAAGTGCGAATGCTCGGACTTCACTCCTGAATCGGGTCAGCTGTTCCACGACGGGCCTTAGCACTCCACAACTGCTCGAAACCTCAGCCTCCTGCAGGACAGACAGAACCCGGTTAGAACCAATGGTCCATGTGAGAGCAGAGGTTCTGGAAAAGGCGTTGTACCCGACTGTGAAGCAGGTCGATCCCCAACATGTCCAGGACTTCTCTGATGTAGGAGATCATGGCTCCGAACACTGCAGGGCTCCGGACCACTCCGTCAGACTGAACAGAACCACAGAACACACCAGAGTATGGTTAAACTGGAACATTTGTGTGGAAATGCTGAAGGGTACCTGCTTTTTACTGGATAGGTACGCACCTACCAAGAATGTACTATATACGTACCTGGTACCTACACAGACCTGTACTTCTAGGCTGTATACCAGGTAAATACGCAGTAAGTACCATCTATGTACCTACCTAGTATGTACAAGGTATTTACATGGTACTGTTTGAGTATTTACAAGGTAAGTTGTTTGTATTAGATACACACTTGGACAGCACGATGACTCAGCGGTTAACAATGTTGACTCACAGCAAGAAGGTTCTGGGTTCAATGCCCGATTTGGACCTGGGGTCTCTCTGTGTGGAGCTTGTTCTCCTCGTATTAACGTGGGTTTTCACTGGGTATTCCAGTTTCCTCCCACAGTATAAAAACATGTATGTAGGGCTGTCTTCAGGCCCAGGTCTACCTGGGAAAAGAGATCTGTGATCTTAGTGGGATTTGCCTGGTTCAATAAAGGTTAACAAATTAATACTGGGTATGTGCTTGGTACTGCCCAGACTCCTCCTTGAATCGCCACCTTATCGTGGTGGAAAAGTTTGTATGCCTGAATGATCATAGGAGTTAAATTCAAATTCAATTTCAATTCAAAAATACTTTATTAATCCCAAAGGGAAATTATTTATTGTTGTAACTCGTTATCCTCATTTCATTAAGAGATGTTACAGATACTGATGGCCATAGGCAGGAAAGATCTCTTGTAAAGGTCCATTCCACAGTGGATCCTAAGAAACTGGCTGCAGATGCCGTCTGGTCCGTCCACCCAGACTAGGCTGGCCTCTCGGTTCCCCTGGGCTGTAGGACTGCCCGAATGAGCCGCGTTTCCTGCTGGTTCCAAGATCTCAGTGGTCAGGCACTCGAGCACAGCCGGCATGTAGATGAGAATGCGTCCACAGAACATGCTTTTCGACTCATCTGAGATTTGGGACTGTAGTTGAGATATTATTTGAGCTTTTGAGATGTTAATCAGCTGCTGGTGGTTGTAGAAAACTGCCTTGTTGCCATGGTTACGCATAATTCACCACGTTCTCTGAGGTCAGCGGACTAGTTGCTCCTCACAGTTCCAGGATCTTGTCTTAAGCGCAGAGGTGACAGGGCCTTCTCTGTAGCAGGACCAAGACTTTGGAACGAGTTACCTCTGCTTGTCAGACAGGCCCCCTCCCTCTCGGTTTTCAAGTCCCGTTTAAAAACTCACTACTATTCGGTGGCTTTCAACACCAGATGATCTGTGTTTTGATTCTGTATGCTCCACACTGGTTTTGTCATCATTATCTGCATCGTTTTTATGTCTATATTCTGATTTACCTCATTTTGTATATTGCTTTGTGTGTGTTACCTGTTGTTTTGTCTGTACAGCACTTTGGTTGGCCTTGTAGCTGCAGGAAGGGCCATAAAAGTGAGGTGCATGATGCCATGGGCAGTGGCCAAAGGCGGGGACCTTGGCGCTCTGACCCTGGCTTACCAAAGCTGGCTTTTGGGACATGAAACATGTCTTCTCTGGTGGGGAAGGAGCCTGAGCTTGTGCACAAGGTTGAGAGGTACTGATTAGATATAGTTGCGCTCACCTTGACGCACAGCATGGGCTCTGGAACCAATCTCCTTGAGAAGAGCTGGACCTTATTTCACTCTGGAGTTGCCCATGGTGAGAGGTGTCAAGCTGGTGTGGGTCTACTTGTAGACCCCTGACTTGGTGCCCGTGTGTTGAGTTGTCCCCGGTAGATGAGAGGGTGGCTTCCATTCGCCTTTGGGTCGGGGGATGGGCTCTGACTGTTGTTTGTGCCTATGCATCGAACTGCAGTTCAGAGTAACCGTCCTTCTTGGAATCCTTGGCAGGGGTGCTGGAAGGTGCACCAGCTGGGCACTCTTTTATTCTGCCAGGGGACTTCAATGCCCACGTGGGTAATGACAATGTGACCTAGAGGGGCATGATTGGGAGGAACAGCCTCTCTGATCTGAACCTGAGCGGTGTTCTGTTGTTGGACTTCTGTGCTAGTCATAGTTTGTCCATCATGAACACCATATTCAAACATAAGAGTGTCCATAAGTGCACTTGGCACCAGGATGCCCTAGGTCGTACATCAATGATTGACTTCGTAGTCATGTCATCTGATTTGCGGCCGTTTGTTTTGGACACTCTGGTGAAGAGAGGAGCTGAGTTGTCAACTGATCACCACCTGGTAGTGAGTTGGGTCAGATGGCGGGGGAAGATGCCAGACAGACCTGGTAGACCCAAATGTGTAGTGAGGGTGTGCTGGGAACGCCTGGCAGAAGAACTCATCAGATAGATCTTCAGTTCACACCTCGGGGAGAGCTTTAACCACATCCCAGCTGAGGTGGGAAATATTGAGTCCAAGTGGGCCATGTTCCATGCCTCACTTGTTGAGGTAGCTGCCTTGAGCTGTGGCCGCAAGGTTGTTGGTGCTTCTTGCAGTGGCCATCCACAAACTCGGTGATGGACACCCCGGATCAGGGAGGCTGTCAAGCTGAAGAAGGAGTCCTATCAGGCCTTGTTGGCCAGTGGGACTCTGGAGGCTAATGAGGAGTACTGGAGGGCCAAGCAGTCCGCAGCCTTGGCTGTTGATGAGGCAAAAGCTGGGATGTGGGAGGAGTTTGGTGAAAGCTTGGATGGAGACTCTCGGTCAGCTCAGAGGAGATTCTGGCAAACCATCAAGCGGCTGAGGGGAAAGCAGCACTTTACTAACACTACCTACAGTGAAGGTGGGGTGCTGTTAACCTCAACCAGTGATGTCGTCGGGAGGAGGAAGGAATACTTCTCTGACCTTCTCAATCCCACCAGCATGTCTTCTATGGAGGAAGCTGAGTCGGGGGACTTTGGGGTTGATCCGTCCATAACTGTGGCTGAGGTCGCAGAGGTAATTAAAAAGCTCTAAGGCGGCAGGGCTCCGGAGTGGATGAGATTTGCCCTAATTTCCTTAAGGCTCTGGATGTTGTGGGGCTGTCTTGATTGACACACCTTTGCAGCATCGCATGGACATCGGGGGCAGTGCCAGTGGATTGGCAGACTGGGGTGGTGGTTCCCCTCTTCAAAAAGGGGGACCGGAGGGTGTGCTCTAATTATAGGAGCATTAATGTCCTTAGCCTCCCTGGTAAGGTCTTTTCAGGGGTACTGGAGAAGCTAGTCCGATTGTTGGTCAAACCTCAGATCCAGAAGGAACAATGTGGGTTCCGTCCTGGCCGTCGAACACTGGATCAGCTCTTTACCCTCACTAGGGTCCTCGAGGGGTCATGGGAGTTTGCCCATCCAGTCTACATGCGTTTTGTGGACTTGGAGAAGGCGTTTGACTGTGGTCCTCAGGGTACACTGTGGGAGGTGCTCTACGAGTATGGGATTGGGGGCCCATTACTATGGGCTGTTCAGTCCCTATGCAAGAGGTGTGAGAGCTTGGTTCGCATTTTCGGTAATAAGCTGGACCCCTTCAGGATGGGAGTTGGACTCCGCAAGGGCTGCCCATTGTCACCAATTCCATTCATAGCTTTTATGGACAGAATTTCTCGATGCAGCCAGCGGGCGAAGGTTTTCTGGTTCGGTGGCCTCAGGATTCCATCTCTGCTCTTTGCAGATGATGCGGTCCTGTTGGCGTCATTGTGCAGTGATCCTCAGCTCTCACTGGAGCAGTTCGCTGCCGAGTGTGAAGCGGCTGGGATGAGAATTAGCGCCTCAAAATCTGAGGCCATGGTCCTCAACCGGAAAAAGGTGTACTGCTCTCTTCAGGTCAATGGTGAGGCTCTGCCTCAAGCGCAGGAGTTCAAGTATCTCGGGGTTTTGTTCACGAGTGAGGGAAGAATGGACAATGATATTGACTGATTGGTGCAGCGTCTGCAGTATTGCAGACTCTGTACTGGTCCCTTGCGGTGAAGAGAGAGCTGAGCTGTAAGGCAAAGCTCTCCGTTTACCGGTCGGTCTCCGTTTCTACCCTCATCTATGGTCACGAGCTCAGGGTAGTGACTGAAAGAATGAGTTTCCGGATACAGGCGATTGAAATGAGTTTCCTCTGCAGGGTAGTTGGACTCTCTCGTAGAGATAGGGTGAGAAGTTCAGTTATCTGGGAGAGACTCAAAGTAGAACCACTACTTCTCCACATCCAGAGGAGCCAGTTGAGGTGGTTTGGGCATCTGCTAAGGATGCTCCCATGGCGTCTCCCTAGGGAGGTGCTTTGGACATGTCTGACTGGGAGGGGATTCAGGGGAAGACCCAGGACATGCTGGAGAGACAATTTTTTATTTATTTTTATGTCTATGTCTCTCGTTTGGCCTGGGAACACCTTGGAATCCTCCCAGGAGAACTGGAAGAGGTGGCTGTGGAAAGAGATGTCTGGGCCTCCCTGCTCAAGCTGCGGCCCCTGCGACCGGACTTTGGAATAAGCGGAAGATACAGGATGGATGGGTGGTACTGCCCACATAGGTACGTGTTGTGTACCTGGTACATATCTGGCACCTACATGGACCAGGCTGTATTACAAGGCGAGTTGTTAATTTATAACCTTGAATTCACCAGGACTGGACACAAACCTCAAGACACTGCAGCAGTTCATCAGAAAATACTATACAATATTTTGGTTTTGTCAAAATTTAAAACCAGTTGGAAGCTTTTGCAAATGAGACTAAACAATATTAAAAGATCCTGTAAAAACTCAATAGCTTAAACAAGCGATGATGAGCAACAATAAAAACTGGTGTTGTCTGCATAAAAATTACAGGAAGCATTTGACAGATTACTCGTATCATTGATGTCAACTGAAAATAAAATGGGTCTCAAGACTGAATGTTGGGGAACCCCTTTAGCAACATCCAGTGATAAAGATTTATATATTCCCCAATATGTACCATGTACATTTCAAGTACATACCTGGCACCAGGTACATAGTTGGTGCTATCTGGTACCTTGAACGTATCTGGTGTACGTATGTACCTGGCTGTAATCTGAATTACTACACTAAAACTGGTGATAAAACTTACAGTAATCACAAATCTTCAACTGTGATTGTGTAAAAACCTAGAAAGTTCTCAAAATAGCAGTTCAGTCCTGAAAGTCCAAGTTCCTGTGACCCATTTCAACATTGAATGATGGTTCTGCTGTGAAGTATTTCTAAGCTATAGAGATCCAACGAGGGACGAGTTGTTGTCATGCGTTTCCCTAAAATCCCAGTTTTCTACGGGGACATTTTTCAGTTTATTCCTCATCCAGATGAGTTTTTATAGATTTGCTTTGGTTTCATTTTCTGTCATGGTCCTCCTGCAGCTTTAGAGAAAACCCAAACACCCGAAGAGTAATAAAGTGCTTCAACGTTTATGACTAAAAACAACACCAGATTAAGTCCACTCTCTTGTATTCATCAGTTGTCTAATCTATGCCTGTTGTTACCGTAGCAACAGGCTGGAGCTGACAGTTTCCATGATAGACCAGATCCATCAGAGCACTGATGGCTCTCGGTGTGTCGAAGTCATCTGCCAGAGACTTCAGCACGGTGGATTTCCCCTCAGCCAGCCTGAAGAGAGCGATTACAGAGAGAAAGAGGGGTTACGGGACGGCCCTTGCTGTAGGAGAAGGTAGAAGACTTGGAAGGAGGTCTGGACCTTTCCCACAGGACAGCCTCCTGCACTGGAGCTGTGAGCATCTGGCCCTTCATGTAGGCCCGAGCAGCTTCCATGAAGTTGCACACGGTCTCCAGAGTGCTGCGAGCCTCCAGCATGCTGCCGTCACTGTAATCTATGGCTGTGGACGCAAAGACACAAAACCTTTGACGTCAGGAATGTGTCCACCAGGACTAAGGACGGCTCCCTAGACCACTACAGAACCACCTACCGGATCTGTACTTGGACAAAAGACAAAACATCCGGAACTCATTGGCAGAGTGAGACTGCAGGAAGTCCTGAAAGAAAGACAGGAGACAATTTAAACTTTAAAACTTACAATTAAATGTACATATTTCAACATCTAGTACCAGGTTAAGTTTGTCTTTCTGTCTAACATTTTACCGTTTCACTTTATGCCACTTATTTTACCCATTCAAATGTCAAATCTGGCATTTTCCCCGACAGAATGAAAATTGCTAAAGTAGTTCCTCTTTTTAAAAATGGTGACAAATCTGTATTTAGTAATTATAGACCTATATCTCTTTTGCCACAATTTTCAAAAATTCTCGAAAGATTGTTTGTGACTAGATTAGATAAATTTCTTGACAAACAAAATGTTCTGAGTAATAGTCAATATGGTTTTAGATCAACTAGTTCTACATCCTTGGCTCTGATGGAATTGATGGAACAAATTACAACAGCAGTCGATAATAAAAAACATTGTATAAGTATATTTGTGGATCTAAAGAAGGCATTTGATACTATTGATCACACCATTTTAATTACAAAATTGAGTCAATATGGTATCAGAGGTCCTGCATTGCAGTGGATAAGTAGTTATCTGAGTGATAGAAAACAGTTTGTACAGATGGATGATGTACGTTCTAATTTAAGCAGAACTTCATGTGGAGTACCACAAGGTTCTGTAATTGGACCCAAGTTATTTATTTTATATGTTAATGATTTAGTTGAGGTGTCTGATATCCTCAAATGTATTTTATTTGCTGATGATACCACTTTTTTTTGTTTGGGTGAAGACTTGGAACGGATGTTTGTATTGATAAAGACAGAGTTTGAAAAAATACAAATTTGGTTTAAATTAAATAAGTTGTCATTGAATATTGATAAAACCAATTTTATGATATTTAGTAAAAAAAAGACAACTTTGGATTTTTCTTTTGAAATGGATGGTATAAAGATATGTAGAGTGAATGAGATCAAGTTTCTGGGTGTAATTATCGATGACAAACTGTCATGGAAACAGCATGTAAATTTTGTTAAAATTAAAATATCTAAGTCAATTGCAGTATTGTATCGTGTAAGGGACTTGTTAAATAATAAGGCTTTGTACTTGCTCTATAATATAATCATAGTTCCGCATTTAATTTATTGTGTAAATGTTTGGGGTACAGCATGTAAGACAACAACTAAGCCTATTTTTATTTTGCAAAAAAAAGCTGTAAGAATTATAATGAGGAAAAATTATTGTCTTCCTTCTGGTACTCTATTTTGTCAATTGAAATTACTTAAGTTTTATGATTTGGTTGATTATAATATTCTTTTACTTATGTTTAGAGCTCAGAATTACTCACTACCATCAAACATTCAGAACTATTTTGTGAAAAGGACCAGTAGTTATAATTTAAAGGGAATAGAAATGTTTGTTAAATTGAAGTACAGAACAAGTTTAAAGTGTAGATCTACTACAATAAGAGGAATTGATCTTTGGAATGGTTTGGAGGACAATGTAAAAAAAGCCAAGTCGATACTAACATTTAGGAAAATGGTTAAAACTATTTTGTTAAAGAATTATATTTAGTTGTTTCTAATTTAACAAATTATAAAGGTATTTTGATGAGACTATTCTTTTGTATTACAATAAGCAAATTAATGTTTGAATTGATTGTTTAATAGGGAGCAGATATAATAAGAAATGTTTTCTTCTTCTGCTTCCTTTCATTTTATGTTTTTTTGTTTAATTTTTTTTCTTTCTAAAAATTGTCATTGTTTTTTAATATGAAATGAATAAATTTACAATAAAAATAAAATAAAAATTGTTCAAATGAACGAGGACTATGGGATGTAAGAGGAATTCACAAAGAGCAGAGGACACAAAGGTGCAGGACTTCAAGGACTTGGGGTCCACTGTCCAGGAACATGGGGAGTGTGGTGAAGAGGTGAAGAAGAGAGTCCAGGCAGGATGGAGTGATGGAGGAAAGTTTCAGGAGTGATTTGTCACAAAAGGATGTCAACAAAGGTTAAAGGAAAAGTTTACACGACAGTGGTGAGACCAACTATGTTGTACGGTCTGGAGACAAGAGACATGGACAAAAAGACAGGAGACAGAACTGGAAGTGTAAGAAATGAAGATGTTGAGGTTCTCCTTAGGAGAGACAAGGATGGAGAAGATCAGGAATGAGATCATCAGAGGTACAGCACAGGTTGAACAACTGGGAGATAAAGTTAGAGAGGACACTCTGAGATGGTTTGGACATGTCCAGAGGAGGGACAGTGGTTTGGACATGTCCAGAGGAGGGACAGTGGGTATATTGGTAGAAGGATGTTAGAAATGCAGCTGCCAGGAAAAAGACAACGAGGAGATACGTGGATGCAGTTAGAGAGGACATGGAGGTACAGTAGTCCCTTGTTTATCGCGGGGGATCTGTACCCTGAATCCCCGCAATAAGTGAACAACCACGAAGTAGGAATGGTAGTACAAGTAGTAAGTAGTACTTTGCACGCAATGGATAACGAGTCTGACTACGAATCAGAACATTCTAGGTTGGACTCCTGGCTAGCTTGAAAACGTTATTGCATCTCTGCACATTACCTTTGTGTGTCCTGCAAATTGTGACTGCACTTGTGTTATAATCAACTTAAGGTCCACGATAAAACAGTGCATTCATTCCATCATTCTCTCGGGATCTTGTTGAACTTCCAAATAACAAAAGTAGCATGGGACCCAGCTTTGTTTTATTTCACATGTGCCATCAATTTTTTCAAATGTCCTAGACCCCCCATTAAAAATGTGAAGTGAAGTAGTCTTTAAAAACTGTGAAACAACTTGAAGATTTTTACTTGTATCCAAGATTCTGGTCCTTCCAGAATGAAAAATGCCACCTTTAATATGTAGGTCTTGAGAAACAGAACAAAGACTTTCTTTAATCCGGTTGGTAGACTCAACAAGGGTCAGGTTTTCTAATGCCTTTCTCCAACTTTGTAGTTTCCTGCTGCATCAGTACAACACAAAGTTGATATGGGTGGACACGCATTGCCATGCTAGATTAGATGATGCCTCTATTGTCAGTATTTTTTTAAACCACTAATGAAATCTCTGTCACAGACAAAGTATTAAGATATGCAGAGCTCTTTACTGTTATGAAAGCCTTAACATATTGAAGAAAAGAGAATGGACATGACTCAGTGTGATTAAGCACTAGCAAGAGGATATATATATATATATATATATATATATATATATATATATGCTCTAAAAAGAGCACAGAATATCATGATTTCAACTCTCTGCCTTCTGCCACGCCCACTTCTCCACTGCAGAGTGTAGATCAGCTGATCAGCTGCAGGAAGAAGCGTCTCCTGCAGCAGGTGCTAAATAATTTTAAATAATTTGTTTTAAAAAAACAATCCATGCCGATCGTGCGGCTCATCCAACAATCAGCCAAATGTGTGTCATGTCCAATCTTTTTTAGAAAACCGCGATCTATCGCAAGTCCGCGAAAAACAAACCGTGAAGTAGCGAGGGACTACTGTAGTTGAAGTGAGAACAGAGGACACAGAGGACAAGGTGAGGACAGAGTGGGGACAGAGGACAGAGTGAGAACAGAGGACAGAGTGGGGACATAGGACAGAATGGGGAGAGTGGACAGCGTGGGGACAGAGGACACAGAGGACAGAATGGGGGCAGGTGACAGAGTGGGGACAGAAGATACAGGACAGAGTGGGGCAGAGGACACAAAGAACAGTGAGGACAGAGTGGGAACAGAGGACAGATTGAGAACAGAGGACACAGAAGACAGAATGGGGACAAAGGACAGAGTGGGGACAGAGTGAGATGGAAGACTTGTGACGACCCCTGAAGAGGGAACAGCTGAAAGAAGAACTGTTAGTGTTCCAGTTGGACAATGTTTTTTAATAAAACACCAAAGATGCAGGTGTTTAGTTTTGTGCATCACTTTTTGTAACTTGTCTGTGAAAATGGTCCTAAAATGTCGTCTAAAGCCGTGTTACGTCTTGTGCTCATGAAACATGGTCACCTGATACATTCACACAAGCACGAGGACGAAACTGAGAACTGGACGTGTGATCCTGTCCTTGAGAGACTTTGTTAAGAAAGAAGTGCGTCTTTCCCGCGCCGAGCGTCATGGTTGGAGTTTTTACACTGACCAGGTCACCTGTGAGGACCGCGACGTGTTCTCTGTGTATTTCAGATATAAATACACAGAAGTAAAGTTAGTGTCGTGAGAGAGTACTGAGGACTTAGTGAGTCTGAAGTGTTTCTGGTGGACTGAATGATTTGACTGTGGACACCCGGGGACGACTGGATGAAGTGAAGAGCCGTGACGAGTCCCTGTTGGAATGTAAACAAGCGATCTTCATAGCTTTAGGAGTTGATGTGAACTGACTGGTTACTTTTTATCAAAGAAGTCACGCGTGAGCAATAACAATTAAAACATTGGAAAATGACTGACGGCTTCGGTCAACTGGATCCATCTTTACCATGTTCATCTTCTAGCTAGCATTCTGCCACTAGCACTTATGCCAAGTCGTGGTTTTAGCCATCGTTTTGCTACGTAGCTTAGCATTTAGCTATCATTACCTGTGGTAGCTTCAGGAAGGACAAAAACACTCGCCAAGTCTTCATGGGGGGGTTTCACCGCTGTGGTGACCTCTGAAGAAGGGAGCAGCCGAAAGAAGAACAACCTTCTAGCTAGTGTTTAGCTATTGTTGTGTCCCTTTTAGCTACTTTTAGGCCAGCATTAGGCCACTTTCAACTTTTTGCTAGTGTTTAGCTATTGTTACATTTAAGCCAGAGTTTAATTACTATTCGCTAATGTCATTTTTAGCTTTTAGCTAGGATTTTGCTACTTTTAGACTAGCATTCCGTCACTTTGACCTTTTTGCTAATGTTTTGCTACATTTCCTTTTTGGTTAGAGTTTAAATACTTTCAGCTAATGCTTTGCTACTTTTAGCTTCTAGATAACATTTAGCTACTTGCACGTTTTAATTCCTTTACATTTTAGCTATATTTTTCCTTTTAGCTATTCTTCTGCGACTTTTAGCTTGATCAAGTCAGTTTCAGCTTCTTCAGCAGTCGTTAAGTTTAGTTTCTGAGTGTTTTTGAACTGAGTGTTTTTGGCTGATCTCTGGTTCCCTCAGCCTGAGATAACTTCGGCTGCTTTGCAGACTCCAGAGAAGCTGCAGTTCTCTTGATGATCCTGCAAACGTTCGGCTTCGTCTCTTACATGGCTGTAATGTCTGGGATGTAAAAACGGTGGTTGGGAACCTTACCTTGATGGTGACGTAGTTCTTCAGAGATTTGGACATTTTCTCTGCACTTCCTTTGAGGTGTAGGTGACCTAAAACATGACAACAACCGCTCAGCTGAGGACAGGAAACACTCGGTGGGTGTAAAACTCAGACCACAGCTCTTTGGAGGAAACCTCCGTAAAGTTCAGCTGACATTAATCTTTGGGACTTTCCAGTGACTCCACTAAATAAATGGGAACAGATCGTTTCTCTGTGACAAAGATCCAATTCAAAGTTCCTTTAGTCGTCTGTTTCTACACAACTCTGGCTCATCCCTTGAGTTTTGTTATCAAGACTGAAGCTGAGAGAAAAATCAGAATGTCCGGATCCTTGGAGGTACATTAAAGATGAGGGTTTTGGACTGTGTTGACTGTTAGCAAAATATCTTATGAGTCCTTGGACATATTTAACAAACAGACATCTGATGGCTGCCATGGCTAATCAATCTTAGAAAACCCAGAACTGGCTAAAAGTCAGTAGATTTTACAAATACTGAGCTAAATGTAGAGGTGGTAATAGCTGAGAGTCATACCTAACACACACTCTGAGAGCCAACAGATCACCTGATCTTTGGTTAAAACTTTACCATTAACTGTTGGAGTCAACTCTGTCAGCAAAATACAGAGGTCGAAAGTAGCCAACTACATTTCCTCGTGTTGTGTAATTTAGCATGAATTCTATGTACTTTATACTTTAAGTAATTATTCCAACCTATACTTTGGCTTCAGTACGTTTTACTTGAAATATTTACTCAAATGCACCTGTTAGTGAGCAGAAAATGTGAACAGAAATACGTGAAATTAAATCAGGCGGAGAGAAAAAGCACACCGTCATCCCGCATTGACTGGATCTGATCCTCACCTGTCAGCCAGTGTCTGATCCAGCTAGAAATTACACAAGCCCACAAAAACTGTGCATAACTCCGCCCACTACGCGTACTGCTCCATCCCATAGAGACTGAGTATAACTCTGTCCACTCTGCGTACCGTTTCATCCCGGAGAGATTGAGTATAACTCCGCCCACTCCACAGGCCGCTTCATCCCAGATAGACCGAGTAGAACTCCGCCCACTCCACAGGCCGCTCCATCCCAGAGAGACTGCGCATAACTCCGCCCACTCCACAAGCCGCTTCATCCCAGAGAGACTGAGTATAACTCCGCCCACTCCACGGGCCGCTCCATTCCACAGAGACCGA